TAGGCTACAGTGAGATTCTCTAAGAAAATGCAGAATGAATGGGAAAGAGTGATGCTATAAATATTTACTGAGAAGATAACTAGGTTCTTGCGTGCTGGACCAATTATGATGTACTAAATATATTAGCAAAATGCTTAAAAAATCGAGAGGATTTGTGTGGGTGTTGGGTGGGTGGGTTGGTTTGGGAAAGTGAAATAAAAGGCACTATGTTATTGTCGTGTCAGTTTTATTAAGCCTGAATCACAATGGCATACCCAGGGAAGGACACATGAAACCCACATTAATGCAAATTAATTCGTTATGAGTTTGCAGCCTGTGATTGCTAAGTGGAGTAATGATGGGGCATCATTTTAAGAGTGTTAGTGTAGCAACTTTTAATGGAAAATGCTGTGTTAGGAACATGTCTCAGCACTTTAGCCCACGTGTTTTTATATGCTGGAAATGTGTTTTGGACAAGAGCAGGAAACTTGCTTCACTTTATTCTCCCCTCCCCCAAACAGTTTAAGAAATGTAATTATGTTTTGATGTTTAAAGAAAATCATCTAATTTTCCCTCAAAAAAACCAATCCAAAAATGCCCATCACCATAACCAAGTTCGACTTCAACTTCTTTCTTTCTTTTTTTTTTTTTTGCAAGAGACTGCAGCACAAAGTGGAAAAACAATGAATGTAGCATCCCCCATAGACCTATAGATATAAGTTTATTGAAGTGATTCCCCCCCTTTTTTTTCTTCTTAGAGGACTTTGGTCTCAGGCAGTGTTGCAAGTCAATACTTCTTTCCCCAAATGTGAGTAGGTGGATGTGTATGGAAGCTGTAAAAGTGAATGATCGTTCTCTGACTCATAGCTGATGGTTTCAGGTTGAGGAAAAGAAAAGAAAAAATTAATGAGGGTAAATAGACATTTGATGGAACGTTGAGACAGTAGGAGAGATTGTTCCTGTGTCTAAGGGCATGTGTTTTGTTGCAGCAGAATTTCTGAAGGAGAATGCCAGGAAGTGAAAAGGGGTTGCCTTTGTTAAGTTGTTGTCGTAGGAGGGTGCAGATGTTCCGTGCCTGGATCTTTGCAGGAATGTTTAAGCCTCCATACCTAGCAGTCAGTGCTGGCTTTGCCTTCCCTGTGGAAGTTAGAAGTCCCCTTGGCATCTTTTAAGGGGGCGGGCAGGCACCCAAAGGCCTGATCAGAAGTTTCCCACTACATGTAAGAGGCTCCCAGCATAGGGCTGGGGGTGCTGTCTCTGTCCTGCAAAATGACTGGTGACTTAAGAAAAAGTCTTAGATGTTTAAGCCTCTATTCTGCCTTTTATGCTAATAACATGGAAGTTAAACTTCAAATGCCTCACGGTGGTAGCTACAGGGGAGAGGAAGCTGGACCAAAAAAATCCCCCAAACCAAAACCGTTTAGGAAATGAATCTGAATTTCTTCTTCTTTCTTTCTTTTTTTTTTTTTTTTAAATAGAAAGCTTGGTGATTCATAAAACTGGAAATAAAGCAAATGCTCCCCACTCTTCCCAATTTAGTGGAATGAATAGGCATACAAAATTTATCTTCATCCTACTGGAAGTTTGAAACCCAATGTAGTGTTTCAAGATTTTTAGTCGCCTTTGAGGATGAGATCTCTGTGACTGAAAAAGCTGTTTCCCTTTTCTCCCATCTCTGGGTATCTCTGATGTCTTGTATCTGAAACATCAAATTTAGGGCCAGTAGTAGTGATTAGAAATGAAATGAGAGAAATCAAGATAGGATTTCTTGATAAGGGAGGTGGTTGATCGTAAAATGTTGGTTTTTGAATTGCTGGAAAATGTAGGCAAGGCTGCGCTGAGCACCACCGCATCTCCATGGCTCTTCCTCTGGACCATAGGGGGCTGGGTCACCGGGAGGTGTTCGAATGGGTGGTTGGGTGGGCTTGGCCACTGTAAACAAGCACACAGGAAGGGAAGGTTTATTTTGTTGAGCCTTTCACAGGAAGGCATGACATGAAAAGTACCTTGGAGTTCTCATTTGGTGCTGCTTCAGGATGCCTGGGGAGGGGCAGGGCAGGGGGGAACCACGTTGAGGGTGTGTTGCAGACCCAGGGTACAAGAGCCACAGTTGCTGGATGCGGAAATGACGTGCAGTGCTGCAGGTGGCCAAGAGCAGGGGTGGTCCCAAGAGTCCAGGACTGGGGGAACCTGGTTCTTGAACTCAGATGAGCCTTACTTAGATCTCCACCTAAGATCTCTCAAGCGCCCCTCATCTTCCAAAAGCAAACAAACAAACAAAAGCACATAGGGTCAACCCTCTCTTGTTCTTTCTTCTAGCTTTTTACGGAGATATAAATAAACTATTGTTCCACTTTAGAATGCCAAGTTTTTACCGGGTCCTTGTATTTTAGGTTTGTCTTAAAAAGCTAGACTATAATGAACAAGGCATCTCTGTGTTTTACAGGGATGGAAAAAGCAGTATTTAAAGGGTGTGTTTTAGAAAAGAGTATTTGGGAAAAGAGGGGGTGGGAACCCCAAGGAGAAACGAGAAAATTGTCTTCATAGCTGTTGCTGGGGGGAAGTGTTCAAGCTCAAAATCTCTCCAACGCAGTGGGTACTGGCTGGGAGTGAAGAGCTGATTGGAGCTTGTACTGTGTGGATTTATGAGCTGGTGATGGTTATTCTGTGTGCCTGGATACCTGAGGAGGGGAGTTGCGTTACTTGGGGATGTTAGATTGGTGTGTGTGAAGGTGAAATTAACTGTCCTACCAGATTCTTAAGGACTTTGCAGCGGCATTTTACTGTCTTAATTGTAGCATTCTCTCTGGGGTTGTGTTGTTGTTTGGGTGGTGCTGAATGTGAGGATTAAGTGTGGAACCAGACAAATGGAAATTGAATTTGGATTAGCCACAGTTTCATTAATTTATTCAGAGGGCAGTGGTTGTATGAAATTTTGTTTCCACGATGTATACTTAGTTATCAGGTGTCCATTCGATTTTAATTGACGTTAGGAGATTTCTGTGGTTACCTGGAGTGCAAGATTGCCTTAGGGCTCCGCAAGGTTTGTGGGAAGAAAAGCTTGGACAAGTTTCCATTAAGCTCTGAATCAGGCAGTTGGAAAATCGCAGCATAAAACCGGCTGAAAAGGGGGACGAGGTTTTAGTGTTGCCTTCTCTCCTGAGCAGGGGAGTCCCCCGCTCCGACAAGAGCTGCTCTCAGCCAAGAATTCCAAACTCGCAGAGGAACCTATCCCTCGCACAAAAGTTGTTTTAACACAATGCAGAATTGTCACAGTAATTAGTGCGATCTCCGCTTACCGACTGGCAGTTTTCACAAAAAGGACAGGGGGGCCAAGGGGGCAAATTCATCTGTCTTTTTCAGTGACTCACTTTGGATGAACTGCTCCTGAGTGTGTGTGTGCAGGGGTGGAGTGCTGTGTGCGTAGGGGGGCTTATCTCAGTGGCTCAGCCTTTATCTTTTGTTGTTTTAGGGAGTGTGATTCATTACTCTGCTTTGACAGGTAAAGGAATATATATATTTTTGGCCCACCTTTATTGTGCCCCCTTTTAACTTTGATTAGTATTGTTTGGGAGCAAGCAGACTCCTAATACATATACAGGCAGTGTGTTTTTGTTTGTTCACTTGGAGCAGATACAGTGATCTCAGAAACCCACTATATCCCCACCTGGGAACAGTACAGCCTTATCCCATGAGCAGTGTGCATTTAGGCTATTTAAAAATTTTCATTACTACTGGGTTGCGTTTAGTATGAGTTGGTTCAGAATTTCTTATGTGAATTTCTTTTTTTTTCCCCCCAAATAAAAACCTGTATAAACTGAATAATTTTTCTTGCAGGGAGCAAGATACAAAATAATGGGGTCTAAAGAACTGCTATATAGGAAGGTTCTGGTAATAGCAGTTGTACAGTGGTAGTAATGGCAATAGTTTGCTATAGTAATACAGATCTGTGTTTGGAAATGTAACTGATTTGCCTATTGCTGCTAGGGAGATGGGCAGTGATTTCATAGGACCGTGTGATTCTTCATCATTTGTTCATTTATGGCCAATTAAAATGCATTTTCAGATATTGTTGAGACCTTTTAGTGTTTGTTGTATTGTTTATAAAATAAGTCAGCAGATGGTGTTTGTTTTCCCCGTTGGTAGGAGCCCAAGATTAATAAGTACTATTTGGGAAAAGAAGAATTTGGAGAGGCCTCTTGGTATTCCTTTTTATTTGGGGCTACCTGTTTCTTTGATGGTAGATCTATAGGGCTTCAGAGGGAAAGGCCCAGGAGAGACTTTGGCCTTCTGCTGTGGAGAGTCTGGGTGAACCAGGGATGTACCTTCACCCAGGGGCCCCCAAATATATAGGTGGTCTTTAGAAAACTCAGTGGCTCTTTGGCACTGGTTGGTTCCTTCTTTGGGGAAGTGTGGATTCCTAGAGTGCGTGTGGGCTGCAGAGCTGTCCTGAGCCGTCCTGGGACTGATAGCTTAGTCATTGCGAAAGAATGTATAAGGCATCGAGTGGCCCCTGAATTCTGCCTGCCACATTTGTTTTCCCCAAAATAGAATTGTGTTTGAGGGTGAGAGCCTAGTTCTTAGAACTCTGGGGGGCTTGTACCTTTGCAGTCTCGTGGCTTCTCACATCCTTTCTCTCCCAGTCTTTCCCTCTTGCCTGCGTGTCGCAATTCTGATGATGTTTGCAGCATACAGTTAATTTTTCTGCAGCATCTTGCTCAGCACACTGGCTTCCTTTATGTCTTAATGGGCGTCCGTCTTTCCTTTTCATGTCATTGATCCTCGCTCCCGGCCCCCTCCACCCCCCTTTTGCTTATTGAATAGGTGCTTTTTTTTTTTTAAACTTTAGATTATTATGATCATCTTATTTATAGCAACAAATAAAAATACAGAGGTCTTGATTGAATGCCAAGGCTGCAGTTCAATCTAGGAAGGTTTGTCTGCTATTCATAAACTGCTTAAGATGTTTTCTTGTAGTTTGTGACATAAGCAGAACGCTTTGATTTGGTTTCTTTCTACAGCTCTATTTTCAGTCCGGGAGCACACATTACTCTGCGTACAAAACGATTGAACACCAGATTGCAATTCAGGTAGGACATGCAAGAGATCCCGAAGCTTGATTTGTCAATGTGTAGGTCTCTTGTGTCTCTTATTCTCCACCCCTCCCCCTGACCTAGGTGATGATGATGGTGGTGATGATGGCAGTGTGGTTGTGGTTGATTCTTCGGGGGGGGGGTTGGAAGCAAAGAAGAAACAAGAGCAGAAGAAATGCTGCTAAAATGATATAAAGATAGGGAAAGGAGAAGCCTGTGTTTTTTTTTTGTTAAGAGCATCTCGATCAGGCATGATGGGCACACAGATCCCCTAGCTTGGCTACTGCTTTTTGCTTCAGGAGGGGTCTTAAATTGGGAGTCACATGAGGTGACAGAATGTGAATGGGAAGAATTAAGGGGGGTGATATAGCAGAGGAGGCTGTGTGACAGCCAGAGAGTCGTTTCCGGTGGATCAAAATCATGTTAAGTGGTGCTAAGAATATCACTTTTGACCTGATCGTTCTGAAATGTTGATTTCTCTAGGACTTGTTGATACATGACACTGGAAGTGCTGGGAGGGAAAGGCAACGGATCCCAGCTTCTGATGAGTGTCCTGTTTCCTGCTCACGTAGTACTTCCATTCTCTTAAATCCAAAGGCTAAACAAATCACGGACTAATATAGACTCAGAGCTGAACTGATGCCAACAGAGTGCAGTAGTGGAGGGAGAGCAGACTAATACGATTTTCGTCTGTCTGCCTGGCCTGGCCAGGATGGATGGACCTCATGGTGTAACTAATGGTGCCGAAACTTCTTGAGTCCTCTGCTTCTGGGTTAACCCTTCAAGGGGAGGTTTTTGAAACCCGCTGTTGGGGCATTCAAGTCTGGCTCTGGGGTCTTCTGTCCTTGGAAGCTGGTATCGCTTGGTTATATCATTTCCGTTCTTCCCTTGCTCACGTTCTTGTGGTTAGCCCTTGCAGATAACTTGTGTGTGTGTGTATGTGGTCCACAGCCATATCGCATCTTCGTAGCTGTGCTGTTTCAAATCCGCCTCTGTCTGGAGAAGACTTTCCAGTAGCCCTTTGTCCCAGGTACATTGTGAATTTTTCCACCAGTGAAAAGTAGGACTCGGTGGAGCCCCTAGTATTTTGTACTCATTTCAAGGTGACAGTAACTTATTTAAAAAATATTTTGATTCCTTCTGCAGTCGTGCTGCTGATCTGTGTGTGTATTTTAGGGGAAAGTACGACTCTCGATAATGCTCCTTCACCCCCAGATTATTTCCAAGGCTGGTGGGATTTTTTGTTTTTGTTTTATCTTTTGGCCGCGCTGTGCAGCGTGTGGGATCTTAGTTCCTCGACCAGGGATCGAACCCGTGCCCGCCTCCCCAGCATTGGAAGCATGGAGTCTTAACCAGTGGATCCCCAGGGAAGTCCCCAAGGCTGGTGTTCTTGCTGGCTCTCCCTGGGGGACCTTTCTTCCTTTTGATCAGCAGCACAGTGAATGTTGCTCCCAGAAAAGGGTATAGACTCAGGGCTTGGTTGGAGAGCAAGCCCAAACCCTAACTCTTGATGAATGGATGATGAACAGTGTCCTGAGGCCTGCCACATCTTGTGGGGGGGCTGGAAAATCCTGTTGCCTGGGGTATGGGAATTGTCAAGGTTGAATAGCATCACGATCCCTATCTTGGAGTGGAAAGGCTGGCTGGGGCCATGTCACTGGGAGACCAGCCGAGCCCAGAGTAGCTGTTTTGTGTCTTTACACCCGTTGCTGAAGTGTCCCTTGTTAGGCTGAGCAGTTCGTCTTTCTCCAAACCACCTGGCACAGTGCGGGCCGTGTGAAGCGCTTTCTCAGGAGGGAGATGGAGTAAGTTACAGAGCTCATTGTCTGGAGGACTGAAACCATCACTACTCGTCCATGAACAGGTAGTATTGTTCTCCTCTGCTTCTGTTTGCTAAGGCATGATGCCCATGTGGGCAAACAGAGAGAGATTTCATTAGAGACCCAGCACCACCATGCTTTGAGGATTCATTCTCCCCCAGTCTCTGCTAGACCAGGATGAGGTCAAAGCCACATGGCGTCTAGCTGTAATTTTAGTTTGACCATCAAAGGATAAATGGCAAAACAAAACGAAACGAAAGAAGCAAAGGGGAAAAAAAGAGGAAACCTCAGACACAATAAAATTGTTCCCAAGGCACATGGCAGCTCAGTAGCAACGTGAGGGTGAGAGGAGAGGGTAGCCCTGCTTTCGTGCAGAGTAGAGCGGATGTTTGCCCTCTGCCCCATTCTCCAGTTTAAGGCTTAGATGCAATGTGATTGTCAGGGCAGAATTTTCTTCCCTGGAAATTTAAAACTGTTTAACCTTGATAGGTACAGTATTTCAATCTGAGCTGAGCTGGTTGCTTTCCTAAGCTATATCCTGAAATAACCTAGAGTAGTATGACACCGTGCATCCCATGAGATTCCTCCCCCTTTCCCTTCCCTCCTGTAATCTCAGGACTTGGCCAGCTTCAACATTTATGTGAATGGCTTCTGAGTGATTCTCTAGACATGTCTGTCATGTTCTTCTAAAAGGTTTGGACACAGTATCAATTGATGTGTTGGGATCTTCCTCACTTTTGACCATCTCCTAACTCCTCTCAGTTTTGAAAAGACAAGAGCAACACAAAAGCCATATTTTCCCTAAATGGTTAACACAGTATAATTGGAATAAAAATTAAAAGGCTCTTTTCTTTTTTCTTTACAGACATAGATATTTAACTCTATTGACTTGTAGAGAGTTTTATTGAGATATAAGTACAGCACAGTGCACAGATCCTCAGTGGAGAGATGGATGAACTTGTACTTTTGTGAACATCCATGAAACCATCTCCCAAATCAATATATAGAATGAGGTTGGAATGCTTTTTCTGTACAGGGCCAGATAATAAGTATTTTAGGCTTTGTAGGCCAAACAATCTCTGTGGCAGCCTCTCAATTCTGCCATTGTGTGTGAAAGCAGCCAAAAATAATACCTACGGGAATAGGTATAGGTGTAGCTGGGTCCCAATAAAACTTTATTCATAGAAACAGTTAGTGGCTGAATTTGGCTCATAGGCTGTAGTTTGCAGGGCCCCGAAAAGGAGTATTACCAATTCCCCTGGGGTCTCACTTATTCAAAGCTTCCCGCGACTGCTGACCAAAATTCTCACCCTGGATTAGTTTCACCATGGATTAGTTTTGCCTGTTTTTTAGCTTCTTAGCAATGGGATTGTGTAGAAAATATAATGTCTCATGTCTGGCCCTACTTAGCGTTATGTGTGTTTCATCCCTGTTATTGCCATGTACTATGCCACAATGCAGGTGTCCTTTCTGTGCTTTTGGATATTTGGATTGCTTCCAGTTTCCTGCTACTATGAGTATAAGGCCCTAGTAACATTCTCACCCAGATCTTTTGGAGGAATATGTGTGTTGGATTCTGTTCATACTCAGGAGTGGACTGGGAGAGTGATATGTGTGTTTAGCTTGCATTGCCCTTTATCAAATGATATCTTTTGAAATGCACCAGCATAGTGGTTGTTGGGTGTGTGAGTGGCACACAGGAGGGGGAACAGTAAAAAGATCTGGGTGGGGGGTTTCCCTGGTGGCGCAGTGGTTGAGAGTCCGCCTGCTGATGCAGGGGACACGGGTTCGTGCCCCGGTCCGGGAAGATCCCACATGCCGCGGAGCGGCTGGCCCCGTGAGCCATGGCCGCTGAGCCTGCGCGTCCGGAGCCTGTGCTCCGCAACGGGAGAGGCCACAACAGTGAGAGGCCCGCGTACCGCAAAAAAAAAAAAAAAAAAGATCTGGGTGGGATCAGAGGCCAGCTTGCCCAAGCTCCAGTGCACGCCCCTTCACGCACGGCTTTGCTTTCTGGCCCCAGTGGGAGCTCCTCCCACTGGGGCCTGTTTCTGGGAACTCCTCCCACTGTCTCCTTAGCCCGGAAGAGATCCTGCAGGCTGAGCGCAGAGGTGGACCCACTTTGCAGATGCCTCCCAGGAGTGCCCTGCAGGTGATTGTGGATAAACGTTTAAGCACTATCCCCACTACCTCCCTGAAGAGAGCTCTTCCCACACTCCTTCCAACCCCAAGAGTAGTGTTGGAATTAAGGTCAGGATCCACAGAAGATGTTTCCCTTGGTTTTCAGAAGGGCTGCTTCAGAACCAATTAAGCCTTTGTTTTAAGAGTATTTTGGCCAAAGGTTGATGTTTTAACACCAAGTCAGATGTGATTTAGGAAAAAAAAAAACTCCACACGCAGCAAAAACAAACTGTGTAGACCTTTCTTGGTTGTTTTTCTTTTCAGATGTTAAGTGGTTTGTGTGCGTGTGTCTGTGTGTGCGTGCACAAAGACAACTAGGAGAGGATCCAGAAGAAATGGACCATTTTATTTGTTTACACAGCTGAGCGGTGGAGATTTTGTAGTGGGTGTTGCTTTCCCTTTCATCCTCAAGGCTGCAAGCTTCCATCTGAGTTCTCCCGGCCCATACCATTCTGCTTGGTTTTAGAACTCATCTGCCGTGATTCACTACGGCCTGAGGATCTTCCTCCAGGGCCTGGGTGCTTTGTGGAGACAGCGAGAGGAGGACACAATTTGGAGAGTGTCCTGTCCCCTCTTGGTCCTTTATTCTTGAATGTGAACTTGGCACTGAGTCTTGTCCGTGTCTTAACATTGTTAAGATTCCTGAGGTGCTATGGCTCAGGGTCCATCTCTGTGCCCCAGTAGATCCTTGGTGTTCGTGATAAAAATGTCCAGAGAATTGTACCAGCAGGTTTGGGCAGGATGTTTGAGGGTGCCTGGCGTTTCCCTAGTTCATGTTTCGGATGGTCGTCTCTTGTGTTAGGCCCTCCCTTGCTCCACAAGTTCCCTGGCCTTTCAGGTTTCTTGAGGGTTTGCGATCTCCATTGAGGAGCAGATCTGGGCTAAGAGGGAGAACTCGCAGAAGCCAGTTCCTCATACGGTTCTTTAGTCCCATCACCAGACTGGCTGTGAGATTTCATGTCCACTTTCCACAAAGAATGCAGTGTGTGTGTGTGTGTC